GGGAGCTCCTGGGGCTCCCCGGCCTCCACCTGCGCGGGGGGGTCAGGGTCAGGGTCAGGGCCAGGCCGCTGCGTCCCCCACCAGGCCCCTGCGACGCTCCCACCCGCTTTACCCCCGGCGGGTCCCTCCCGTCCCAGCGCTGCCCCTGGCCCAGCCGCCCCTGCGGAGCCACATCCCCGCCTGCGCCCAGGGGACCCCAACCCACTGCTGGAGGGGGGCTCTGGGCACACTCACCTGCTGCTTCACCCGCCGCCTGGGATCTGGAGGGAAAGAGGAGGGAAAGATGGGGGAGCGCTGCTGCCCTGCCCTGCCCGGAGCTCTCAGGGCCGGGGGGGACCCCCAGGGCACCAGCGCTTCGCTCCCGGAGCTGGCCCAGCTCGGGCTGCAGCGAACGCGCCCCCGCTCCCCGGACAGAGCCACCGGCCCAGCACGGCCACAGGCTTGGGGACCCGTGTCCTGGCAGCCTCCCCAGCCGGGCTGCCCCGCTCTTGGCAGAGCTGCCGCGTCTTCCCCGCACCGAGGCGTCGCCTCCCGTGTCCCAGCCCCTCACCTGTGTGGACCAGGCAGTAAATGCAGATGCCCACGAGGCAAGTGACGACCACGGCCGTGATGGGGATCAACACCGAGAGCGAGGAGCGCCCGCCCGACTCTGCCGAGGGAGACGGGGTACGTGAGGCATCGCGTGAGATGGCAAGCACCCCGAGCTGCCTCTGTGCCCGGCCCGGACCCGCCTGGGGACAGAGAGGAGCAGGACACACCCTCCTCTCCCCAAAACACCCAGGCCAGGCCAGCTCCTGTGAGGGCTGCGGGAGCAGAGCACCGGGACATCCCTGCTCCACACATGCCCAGCCCCAAGCACTGGGCACTTACCACAGATCACATCTGAGGTGTTCGTCCCTTGCACCTTCACCACCAGCCCCTTTTCCTCGCAACTGCAGTGAAGAATGAGACCATGGAACCACAGCAGCCGCCTGAGCACGCGGAAAGCCCCCGAGCAGGAACAGCCCGGGCTGGTGCTGAGCACAATGGGCCCTGGACGGCAAGTGGCCACAGGTGATGCTGTGGCCTGTGCGGCGTGATGGGGACACCGGAGCCCCACAAAGCAGGGCCACACCCTGGGGTCCTGCTCTGGAGTTGCTGAAACTCCTGAAGATGGGGACAAGTTTGGGAACAAGGCACAGGAGGGAGCGGATATTTGAGGCCCTGGGGCTCAGGCACCGCAGCTATCGCAGAACAGCTCGGAGATGACTCGATGACAAGCTACAAGTGGCTCTGTGGGGAGGTAATTTCTGGGCACAGATAAAAGCAAAGTGAAATCCAATGTCTGGCAGCTGAAGCAAGACTAATTTAGCCTGGAATTAAGGCTCACGTTTCTACCAGGGAGTACAATTAACTCTCGAGCAGCTTTCTAAAGACAGGGATGACCTGCCAGCCCATGGCATCCTCACAGCCAGACTCCCCACGGACAGGGCTGGTGCCTCGGCTGATGGCTACAGCCAAGGAGTGTGCTGGGAGGGGGAGCCCGAACAGGGCATGGGGGGCCCCCACAGCCCCTCAGCCCTCGGTCCCCAGTGCAGACAGCAGTGCGGATGTCCCTGGAGGGGCCAGTGCCCTGCACACACGCTGAAGGACGGTCACAAGCGCCTGGATGTCTGCCTCGAGCTCAGCCAGGCCGCCCCGAAGCTCACTGCCCTTGCAGCTCTGCTCCTCTCGCTCCTGCCCTACACCAGCCTGATGCTGTGTCCCTCAGGGACCATCCCAGACAGTCCCCAAGGAGGCTGGCAGCAAAGGACACGCTGGGGATGGGCAAAGGATGCGGCCATCACTCAGACAATACCTTGTCCAGGGATGGCATGGCTCGGTTTTAGAAGAGACATTGGAGAAGGTGCCTTCTGCACAGGGCTCGCAGGGGGAGGACACCCGGGCCACGGCCTTGGCTGGAGAGGAGCAGAGGTTGCAGGAAGGTCAGTACGGGCTGCGGGAGGCGAGGGGCTGCGGGGGCAGGCCAGCAGCACTCCCTGGGGCACTGCTGCCAGGCGCAGCCCTCCCAAAGCCCTGCGAGGGGCACCCTGCCGGGGGACACCCCCGGGCC